CTTGTCCAATCATGATACACATGCATACCAATTCTCGTACATGTCGGCTTTACGTGTCTTGGGGGCTGATTCTGGGGGGCAGGGCTTAGCCATTTGTGCCTGTGCACGGGGACAATTGCATACATCGAGTTCTCGAACAGTTAAATTAAACAATAGGGCCTTCGCACGGTTTGTGCTCGGGCCCTAATAAAAGAATATGTGTGGAAGTTGGCTGTGGCTCAGAGAGAGAGAGCAGGGAGGAGCAGGAGCAGTGAGTAAGGTGCTGTAATGTGCTCTGTCAGGTGCACTTCCTGCTTACTGTGACACTGTGGCATTCCCACTGCTGACAACTTGTAAATTAAACCTTTCTTTCTGCCTCCTTGTTTTCTGTCTGCCTGCATCCTGTGGACGCAGCAAACAAGAAAGGTTAGTACCTCTGTCTGTTCTTACACCACTAACCCCCCCTTCCTCTGTAGCTGTCGGCCTGCCTCTGACAACCCTCCCTGCTGTGTGCAACATGCTTTTGGGTCAGACATGTCCGTGTTTTCTGACAGTGATGATGTGTAGTGGCAGATGCTTGTTGTTTCTGTTACACTTTCACAATCATACCACCACGAGCTTCAAACTTTTCCTCAGACATATCAGCCTCAACTGACAGCACTTGCAAGCATGTGTGTCGCATATGTCAGGGTGTGTGAATATGTTTTTGCACTTTGTTTCTTTGTGCGTGTTTCCACAAATCCTACTGATCTTCCCCCCAGAATCATCCTCCCGCAGTGCTTTTGTCACCTCTCAACCCCTCACACACCTGCAGCTTCACCTGCAAAGCAAACGCCAGGCCTGAATCCAATCCTGATATCACCTAGAGGCAATAACTGACATCACAATGACCTTTTCACTACTCTATTTGTGTTGCCTGCCTGACCTGCATAATACATATTGACTGTCTTCATAATACATTCAGAATCAGTCATTTGTGTTTTGGTTTGTTATTTTGAAAAGAATGTTGTCTGAACTACATTATCTACTGATAAAAAGTGACTTTTGTTGACATAACAACCAGTTGCAGTCACTGCTATATAACTATAGTGAAACATTCACTCAGTGGCACTTACTAACTTTTTTCTCATTGTAACTTATTATTTTAGTCAAACTTTATTGAAATTAAATCCCCCCTCCAGTCAGAAATCAGTGTTTCTTCTTGTTCCTACAGTGTGCTGTTTGAATGATGTCTGTGCAGAGTTTGACACTAGAAGAATGTTTTCACATTCACCTGCTGAAAGTGGAAAGTTTCTCTGTGCTTACTGAAAATCACATTTTAAGGGCGGGGCCTACCATCATGATTTGTAACATCACAAATAGTTTGGAAGTCAGTCCTGGTCCATTATGCAACTTGTACAGTGTGATGTAGCACCTGAAGCCACCAGTGCACATCCACTGAGAATGGACTTTAAAGAGGTGTATGCCTCTTTAAGTATTAGTGGAATATGATCACAGCGGTTTAAGGACCAGTGGGTTAGGATTTAGTGGCTTCTAGCATTTCAACACAGCTCAGCTTTTCAAACATGTAGGACAAACTACAGTGGCCACAAAAAATGCAGAAAGGCCAGTGTTTGGGTTGTCCGTTCTGGGCTACTGTAGTAACATGGCAGTTTAACATGGTGGTAAAAGTATTTTGGGCAGAGCCAGACTAGCTACAATTATCTTTAAATAAATAAAGTTTATACAGCAACATCATTTGGAGGATATTGGTTGACTGTTTTACTTCAAACAAATCTCCAAACTCAATTTAGAGATGTTCAATAAACAGTTGCTTTTCCCACTTTCAGATGAAAAAAAAAAAACTTATTGTAAATTGAAAAAACACCAAACATTACATGTCTTTCTCGCTTTTTTTCATCTTGAATAAAATTCAAGGTGCCAGACAGTATTCAGAGCTTGAATGTTAGTCGAGGTCAAACACTGTATGAAAGCACTAGACTGTATTGTACTAACAAAAAAAGATACAATATGTGCCAGGCAGTAATAATAATCCTTTAGTCAGTCCTTCTATCAAACTTCCAGCTCTCTCAATTTGTTTCAAGTGTAATATGGGTGTAATAAAGCTTTCAGTTCGCAGGACTATAGTGAACACAGCTGTATCAGCAATTAGTCCTGATAAAGTGTTGCATGCAGCACCACATGCGTCCATCAGACATCTCTGTTGACACCAGACTGCTACCAGACAGCACCTGTGACCTAGCCTGCCCTATTTCAAATATATCCGATTACTAACATCCATCCACCGCAACCACTAGTCAAGATCAATATCTCCCTTCATGAAAATGAAACAGTTACATGTTAATAAGATATAAACCAGCTGATTTAATCACATCTGACTTATTCAATGACAAAGATATGAAAAATATCAACTTAATTTGTTCCCACACATCTCAAAATGACATAATTTTTCAATCTAGGGATAAGAGATTGTTTAATTATTAATAAGTAATTCCCAGGACGTCATTTTGTATAACCACCAGTATGGATTCAGAAAAAAACAATGTACACACACGTTATTTAGCTGGTTGATAAAATACAAACCACTATGAACAGTAATGAATACGCTTTGGGTATATTTTTATATTTTTGAATTTAGGGAAAGCTTTTGATACATCTGCTCATAATATTTTACCTATTAAATTGTCACCTAACTAACTAATTATATCACTAATCCAATTCAATTAAATTTTATTCGTATAGTGCCAATTCATAACAGAA